CATCGCAGTTCAGCAAGGCGCAGCACAGCACAGCCCTCGGCACGGTGCATCAAGATTGATACATTCAGCATTGCAATTTGTCACGTTTCTTGGCACGTTCCGTGGGGCGTCCCTTGTCGAGTCCCCCTGGCACGTCGCGTGGCGCGTCCCCTGGCACATCGCGTGGCACATCCTTTGGCACGTTCCGTAGCGCGTCCCCTTGGCACGTCCCGCGGTGCGACCCCATGGCACGTCCCCTGGCACGTCGCCTGGCGCGTCCCTTGGGACGTTCAGCGGCGCGTCCTCCTGGCACATTCCCCTGTCAATTAGCTCTGGGGCAGCTACTATGTGTTCAGGCAGCTCAAGCTTAAGATCAGGAGGACTCGATCCACGACGCTGTAGAGCACAATCGCGGCATGGCACATCGCAGTTCAGCACGGTGCAGCACAGCACAGCCCTCGGCAGGGTAATTACATCAAGATCGATAAACTCAGCATTGCATTTGCCCGTGACCCAATCAGGTGTCTTTGAAAACGTTGCCATGCGTTACAGCTCTATATTCCTTTCCGGGTTCGTGGGTCGATCATGTTCATCATTTGTTGAGGATTTCTCGAGCGAAACGCTGGTTTTGCAACATTGGGGGATGTCTCGAGCGGCGGCCTCGTGGGGGGCCAGAATTCAGAGGATGTCTCTGGCAAAATGCTTGTGTTCACGTCCCGCTCGCAGGAATTCCGAGGATGTCTCGCGCGTGCCGCGTCCCGCGCGCAGGAATTTTGAGGATGTCTCGACTAATTCGCTTGTTGTTCCAGGAATTCCTTGGATGTTGGCAGGATGTCTCGAGCGAAACGCTTGTCCCCAGCACGTTCGCTGGGACGTCGCCTGGCGCGTCCCTTGGGACGTTCAGCGGCGCGTCCTCCTGGCATGTTCTCCTGTCAATTAGCTCTGCGGCAGCTACTGTGTGCTCAGGCAGCTCGAGCTTAAGATCCAGATCAGTTCGGTCAGGACTCGGACGCAAAGGAGGACTCGATCCACAGCGCTATAGACCACAATCGCGGCATGGCACATCGCAGTTCAGCACGGCACAGCACAGCACAGCCTTCGGCACGATACATCAAGATCGATATACTCAGCATTGCAACCTGGCACGTTCCGTGGCGCGTCCCGAGGCGAGTCCCCTTGGCACGTCGCGCGGCACGTCCCCTGGCACGTCCCGTGGCACGGCCATTGGCACGTTCCGTAGCGCGTCCCCACGGCACGTCCCGCGGTGCGTCTTCGTGGCACGTCCCTTGGCACGTCGCCTGGCGCGTCCCTTGTGACGTTCAGCGGCGCGTCCTCCTGGCACATTCCCCTGTCAATTAGCTCTGGGGCAGCTACTATGTGCTGAGGCAGCTCGAGCTTAAGATCCAGATCAGTTCGGTCAGGACTCGGATGCAAAGGAGGACTCGACCCACAACGCTATAGAGCACACTCGCGGCATGACACATCGCAATTCAGCACGGCGCAGCACAGCACAGCCCTCGGCACGGTACATCAAGATCGATACACTCAGCATTGCGTTTGCCCGTCGCCCAATCAAGTGTCTTTGAAACGTTGCCATGCCTTACATGTCTATATTCCGTTCCGGGTTCGTGGGTCGATCATTTACGTGTCCAGGTCACCCAGGGGGGTATCTAACATGATTGCCCCGAGCAAGGACCATGTGTTTTCACGTGTCCAGGCCACCCAGGGGGGTATCTAACATGGTTGCCCAGAGTTGGTACCACGTGTGTGTACGTGTCCAGGCCACCCAGAGGAGAATCTAACATGATCGTCCCGAATTGGAACCACGTGGTTCTGCATGTTCAGGCCGCCCAGGGGGTATTTAACATGGCGGAGTCAGGTGCTTTAACGTGTCCAGGCCACATAGGGATATTCAACACGGGCCTCCTGGGGCCTTCCTGGGGGCCTGGACGGACGTCTAACATGATGCTGTGTTGAGGATGTCTCGGGCGAACGACTTGTCTTCACGTGTCCAGTTCGCCCAGGCGGATGTCTAGCATGATGTGGCACGTCCATTGGCACGTTCCGTAGCGCGTCCCCTTGGCACGTCCCGCGGTGCGTCCCCGTGGCACGTTCGCTGGGACGTCGCCTGGCGCGTCCCTTGTGACGTTCCGCGGCGCGTCCTCCTAGCATGTTCCCCTGTCAATTAGCTCTGGGGCAGCTACTATGTGCTCAGGCAGCTCGAGCTTACGATCCAGATCAGTTCGGTCAGGACTCGGATGCAAAGGAGGACTCGATCCACAACATTATAGAGCAGAATCGCGGCATGGCACATCGCAGTTCAGCACAGCGCAGCACAGCACAGCCTTCGGCACGGTACATCAACATCGATACACTCAGCATTGCAACTTGGCACGTTCTTTGGCACGTTCCGTGGCGCGTCCCGTGGCGAGTCCCCTTGGCACGTCGCGCGGCGCGTCCCTTGGCACGTCCCGTGGCACGTCCATTGGCACGTTCCGTAGCGCGTTCCCTTGGCACGTCCCGCGGTGCGTCCCCATGGCACGTCCCCTGGCGCGTCGCCTGGCGCGTCCCTTGGGACGTTCCGCGGCGCGTCCTCCCAGCATGTCCTCATGTCAATTAGCTCTGGGGCAAACGCCATAGAGCACAATCGCGGCATGGTACATCGCAACTCAGCACGGCGCAGCACAGCACAGCCCTCGGCACGGTACATCAAGATCGATACACTCAGCATTGCGTTTGCCCGTCGCCCAATCAAGTGTCTTTGAAACGTTGCCATGCCCTACATGTCTATATTCCTTTCCGTGTTCGTGGGTCGATCATATTACGTGTCCAGGCCGCCCAGGGGGGTATTTAACATGGCGTCGGGCCCAACGCGGAATTATCAGGAAACGCACGGGGGGCCAAAAGGGGTACTTGAGTACATGTCCCAAAACAGAAAAGTTAAGTTTTCTTGCTCTGGACAGGGGGTGGCGCTTCGGGGGCCTCTCCAGGGAAGACATTGTGAGGACGTCTCGAGAGGGAACGCGAATTCAGCGTATCCAGGCCACGCAGAAGGGGTATCTAACATGGTTGCACCGAGCTGGAACCACGTGTTTTCACATGTCCAGGCCACCCAGGGGGATATCTAACATGGTTGCCCCGAACTGGAACCACGTGTTACTAACGACCCAGGGCGGGTCAAGCGTGAAAACACAGGTTCCTAACGACCCAGGGCAGGAGAAGCGTGAAAACACATGGTTCCTAACGCCCCAGGGCGGGACAAACGTGAAAACACATTGGTTTCTTTCGCCCCAGGGCGGGACAAGCGTGAAAACACATGTGTTCTTTTTGCCCCAGGGCGGGAGAAGTGCAAAAACACATGGGTTCTCAACGCCCCAGGAGGCCCCGGGAGGCCCCAGGAGGCCCCAGGAGGCTTCAGGAGGCCCCAGGAGGCATTGTTCTGTATTGGGACCTGTGTTCGGGGGGCGCTTTTCGCCCCCCGCCCCGCCCCCAGGAGTCCTCGGGAGGCCCCAGGAGGCGCATTTTCTCGGAGAGGGCGTGGGCCCAGGGTTCTCTTTTAGTTCTGTTTCCCTCCGGCACCGAGTTGAAGTGGGCCAGCGGAGCTTTCCTGCGATAGATAACGAGGAAAGGGTGTGCCGGCGGATCTTTTTCTGAGGATGTCCCGAGCGAAACGCTTGCTTTACATAATTTGTTGAGGTTGTCTCGAGCGAAACGCTTGTTTGCAGAGTTGGGGGATGCTCGAGCGAAACGCTTGCTTTCTCGGGCCCAGGTCGCCCAGGCAGATGTTTGACGTGAGGACTTGTTGTGGAGATCTCAAGCGAGACGCTTGTTTTCATGTGTCCAGGCCACCCAGGGGGGTATCTAACATGATTGCCCCGAGCAAGGACCATGTGTTTTCACGTGTCCAGGCCACCCAGGGGGGTATCTAACATGGTTGCCCAGAGCTGGCACCACGTATTTTTACATGTCCAGGCCACCCAGTGAGGTACCTAACATGATTGTCCCGAACTGGAACCACGTGTTTTTACGTGTCCAGGCCGCCCAGGGGGGTACCTAACATGGCGTCGAGCCCACCGCCGAATGTGAGCACAATCGCGGCATGGCACATCGCAATTCAGCACGGCGCAGCACAGCACAGCACAGTTCAGGGGAGGTCTCCGCAGGGCCCCTCCGTAGCCAGGCACGCTGGCCCTCAGCGCGTGAATCCGGCGCGCGGTAGCGACATGTCCAATATGTATGGCTCCAGCCGCACGTGCTTTTCCAGTTGCCTGGTCGATGCAGCTGTGGATGCAGCAGCGATATAGTTGAAGTCGTGCACTCGTCTTCTCCCTCTGGACATCTCGCCCGCCGTGGAATCGACGGGTAAATTGTCGAACCGTGCTCATTTCTGCACGGAAGATCAGCATTGCTACCGTTGCCACAATCGTCATCATCATCATCATCACCATCATCATCATCATCATCATCATCATCATCATCATCATCATCATCATCATCATCATCGTCATCGTCATCATTATCATCATCATCATCAGCACCATCATCATCATCATCATCATCATCATCATCATCATCATCATCATCACCATCGCATCATCGCCATCATCATCATCATCATCATCATCATCATCATCATCATCATCATCATCAGCCGCACCAGCATCAGCATCACCATCATCGCCATCAGTGTCATCATCATCATCATCATCATCATCATCATAATCATCATCCTCGTCATCATCCTCGTCATCATCATCGTCGTCATCATCGTCATCGTCATCATCATCATCATCATCATCATCATCATCGTCATCATCATCATCAGCATCATCATCATCATCAGCGTCATCACCATCATCAGCATCATCATCACCATCACCATCACCATCACTACCACCATCGTCCACGTGTCCCATGGCCACGTCACGATATTTGCATATCGTCTCGGGCCAGGCTGTAGTTCTTGGAATGTCGTAGGGCGGGGTTGTGCAATCCTGAGCCCCGCAAGGGGGTTTGTGGAGTGGTCAGCACCGACAGAGACTTTCAGTGCTTAAAAGGCCGCCAGGAAGCTTTCCGCAAGATGTTGCGAAACCAGCGTGACCAGATGCACGCGTCTCACGGTGATGGAGGCATTCTCGCGTTTGACGCCTACATTTACCTCCTCAAGGCATTTGCCGCAACCGTGCCAGAAGATGCTTTGTCATCATTCCAGGCGATCTGTTTGGGTCTCTTCGTGGTCAAGTTGGGCCTCCACGAGCAAGTCCTCAGCCTCGGCCTCAGCACGGCCAAGGAGCCCACGGGATTGATTCTCTTCGAGTGTTTTCTCCGGTTCTGCGGCGTGTACTTTGCCAACCAGTGGAACAGCAATCAGAAGATGAAGAACTACAGGTTCAGCGCCTTGGACCTATCCGCTGGCAAACTGGCGGTGCGGTCGAGCAGTGGCAGCACTCCAGAGGCTTATTTCGTGACGGACGAGGTGTACACGTTGCAGACGAGGACAGAGGAGCGGATGAATGTCGCCGCATCGATGAAGCCGAAGTTGATCCACGACGCTGCACACGTGGCACTCGTGTCGAAACTCAGCGTTGCCAACGGCGAACTGCGGTATGGCTGAATGGAGCGCATCTTGACGGGCTCAAAACACTTAGCGTTTCGTTCGAACGGGGCATCTCACATTGCCCTTCCATGTGTCAAGGACCGCAAGCTGCGTCGATGAGTTCTGAGCCTCTCGGTGCAAGGCCAGGGCCCGCCCACTTACTCTTCATAGGGTGGCGGGAGCAATGGCTGATGTCATCTCGTCCTTCATGATTTGCTCCCTTTCTGCTTACATTTCCTAGCCTCCATGGGTACAGGATGGGTGGCTACATATAAGAGTTACAGCGTGGGGCCCTGTTCCCAGCAATGGCGATGTGGCAGTTTGTCGCGTCGCGTGAAAAAGGCGGCGCGCTTGCTTGGAAGGGTTCGACGCGTAAATTGCAATCGGGAACTTGAGAGTTTCCTTTCCTCCTCTTCCGCCCTGGCACCAAGTGCGTCTCCTCGCTGCTCCCCCGATCCACGGGAGGTCGAGGAGGGGTACAAAAAGCAGAGGGGAAGACAGCGCTCCAGCCAGCGTAAACTACACCACTGGGACCCGAGGCCCAGTGCCCGCTTGACATGACCCATGCTCGAAACAGAATGGTCCCGGGTGTGACCATGGCTCTTTGGCGTTGTTCCGCTTGAAGAAGTCGTGCATGAGGCTTTGGCACGCACTCGCAGCCTGACCTCCTGATCATCACATCGACTGTCGGCGCTCCTCCTTCAGAGCCCCGCTCAAGACAGCATCCAAAATGGAGGAGCATTGCTTCCAGAATTGAGCTGCGAAGCTCCCGTCTTGGAGGCCTTGGAACTCCTGGGGATTCCAGCGTGGTGCAACGATCGCTCCGTCTGGAAGGTCGGGGGGGCGAGGAGGCAGGCAGTCCCGAGTTGAGAGCGAAAGGCGTCAGGCTCCAGTAGCCCGACAAGGGAGAGGGTTCGCGGAACTTGATCAGGTCAGTTGGAAAGGGGGTAGTTAGGAGGACAGCATCAGGAGGTCGAGCAGGATGAGAATAAGGAGGAGGAGGAGGAGGAGGAAGAAAAGTAAGAGGAAGAGGAGGAAGAGGTCGAGCAGGGAGGATAAAGTGGATAAGGAGGAGGAGGAAGAGGAGGAGGAGGAGGAGAAGATGAAAAAGGGTAGGCGTGAAGGCGTGTTGATATATCGAGGGAGCCTCGTAGAGGAGGGGGGACATTTGGGAGTGAGGAGGCTGGGACAGCTGGAGCCGAGACGTAGAAGAGAACAACGCGTTCCCCGTTCACCTCTCGTCGTTTGGGGGGGGGCCTTCCCAAGGCGCGGAGTGGTTTCTCCGAAGGCTGTGGTCGTCTCGATGCAGAGGGTGTGATCAAGTGGTTCCCAAGACTTCAGAAAGGAGGTTTCAACCTCCGTTCTGCATCACGTTCTCCGTCGTTCTGCACGTTTGCATTCAAAATTCGAATTCTGCTGGAGGTTTGGGAGCCTCTGGGCTCGATGTAGAGATTAAGGTCAGTACAGATGTATCGATATGAGCGCTGGTAAGTGCGCACAGTGTGATTCGATCGTTGCATGGCAGTGCGCATTCGTGTTGCCCAGAATGCGTGTGCTAACTGATGTTGACCCTGGCTGTAGAACTAATTCTTCACGCTTCGCGTATCCCCACCAGAGCAGCTTAGGCAGTTTAGGTGTGCGGCTCTTGTTTGCTCCTGTTGTCAAGCAATTAGGCTCGCGCGTACCCCGCCCGACCTCTTCGGACGCCGCCTGCGCTTCCGCTTGCGGCCGCGACAAAAAAGTATCCCCACCAGCCCATTCAGAAGCTCTGCCCATGAGAGTTGTCGGGAAAAGGGACGAAGAGGCACATGTAGGGAAACAAAGCGAGCAACCAGGGTGAACCGAGAGGTCTCTGGGAGCAAGGGGGTGGTCTTGGAAGGCCTCTTCGGGCCATCCCTTGGGGCTGCGTGGGGGCGAGGGGAAGGGGAGGAGGACGAGCAGGAGGAGGTTGTGGACGAGGCGGAATAGGAGGACGAGGACGCGGATGAGGACGAGGAGGACGAGGACGAGAATTAGGATGAGGACGACGCGGACGAGGACTCGTGGAGCCATCTAGAGGCATTCTTGCGGCTGCTGATGCTGCTGCTGGTGCTCTCTGGGAGTTTGGAGGGCCCTCTTGGAACCCTCTTGGTAACCCTGGAAGGCTTCTTGGGATCATCTTGGAAGCCATCGATTACAGGATGGGAGGGTCCTCAACTCAGCTCCCCCCTGAAGTGCCCGCAAACCGATTCTTGGGGCTCTCTTGGAACGCTCTTGGAGCGGTCTTGGGGCCGTTTGGAGCATCTTGGGAGCCATCTTGAGCCAGCTTGGGCTATCTGAGCCATCTTGGCGGTCACCTTGGGCTCTCTGAGACCGCTCGGGGACTTCTTGGTGGTCTCTCGGGTGCCTCTTGCGGCCCTCTGGGGACCCTCTTGGAACCCTCTTGGGGCTCTCTTGGGGCTCTCTTGGGAGCCCTGGAGCGCCTCTTGGGGCCCTCTTGGAGATCATCGCTCAAAAGAGGGGGGTCCTCGATTTGTCTCCCCCTCCGGGGCCATCACAATCACCTTTTGGGGCGCTCTTGGGGCGATCTTGGGCGCTCTTGGGGCCGTCTTGGGGGCCTCTTGGACCCCTCTTGGAGCTTTCTTGGGCCATCTCGGGGCCATGTGGAGGCCTCAAAAGCGCATCGGAAGCGAAAAGGCGAGAAGGCAAACATCATTGATTTTCCTTAGGTCTTTGACTGATTTTAGGCTCGTCCTGAGGGGTCTCCAAGAGCACCTGGAACCGTCCTGTGGCCCTCTTGGGGCGTCTTGGAGGCATGTCGGAAGCTGTCTTGAGCCATGTTGGGCTATCTTGAGCGATCTTGGAGGCCATCTTGGGCTCTCTGAGGCCTTCCTGCAGCCATCTTGTGCGAAAAAGAAGCTTCTGACACATCGCGGGGCGCCCCGTCCAGGTCCAGGGGAGGGGATAGGGGGAGGGGTCAAGACTGCCGCAGCCGCTGCCCCCGCCGCAGCCGCCGCCAAGTGTACTCTGCATTGTTTTTGACAGGGATGGTGGGGGGAGGCCGCATCGGGTTCGCTGCGCATTCTCCGAATTTGGAGGCAGAGTGTGTTTTTACCTAGCAGCTTTTGCTGATAGGTTTTTAGTAGTTTCAAAAGAGAGCAGCAGATGACTCCACAGGGGGGTCGGGGCGGGACCCGGACAGGCTGCCGCCGCGGCTGCCGCCGAAGCCGAAATCGCTTGGGACATCCTCGCAAAATCGCTCTTGGTGCTCCCAGAACTCCATTCCCGGGCCACATTTTGGATGCCCGGAGCCAACTGTAGGCCACTTCGTGCTCTTCGACTTCCCAGAACTCCATTCCCGGGCCACATTTTGGATGCCCGGAGCCAACTGTAGGCCACTTCGTGCTCTTCGATTTCCCAGAACTCCATTCCCGGGCCACATTTTGGATGCCCGGAGCCAACTGTAGGCCACTTCGTGCTCTTCAAGTTCCCAGAACTCCATTCCTGGGCATGATTTTGAATGCCCGGAGCCAACTGTAGGCCACTTCGTGTTCTTCTAGTTCCCAGAACTCCATTCCTGGGCCACATTTTGAATGCTGAGGCAGGCTGATGCTGCGGCTGAGGCAGGCTGAGGCTGAGGCAGGCTGAGGCTGAGGCCGAGGCTGAAGGCAGACTGAGGCTGAGGCTGAAGCAGGCTGAGGCTGAGGCTGAGGCAGGCTGAGGCTGAGGCTGAGGCAGGCTGATGCTGAGGCAGGCTGAGGCTGAGGCTGAGGCTGATGCAGGCTGAGGCTGAGGCAGGCTGAGGCTGAGGCCGAGGCTGAAGGCAGACTGAGGCTGAGGCTGAAGCAGGCTGAGGCTGAGGCTGAGGCAGGCTGAGGCTGAGGCAGGCTGAGGCTGAGGCTGAGGCAGGCTGAGGCTGAGGCTGTGACTGCGACTGCCGTTGCCGCTGCGACTGTCATCGCGAATGCGACTACGACTGCGAGAACAGCAGAATTCTACAACTGGATTTTCATTTGAATCTTAAGGGGAATGCTTTCAGATATGCTTCTACACATCGCTGTTAGGTTGCTTTGCCGGGATAATGTGTGTGTGTATGTGTGTGTGTTTTCCCAAGGGACGGTGGGTGGGGGTCCCTCATTGACTCGGGTTGGCTCCCAGTCGCCTGGGGGAGGGAGTGTATATTTATAGGGAACAGTGATGAAGACTCCCTCCCCGACCGCAAGCCGTCTCGCTCACTCCCTCCCGCCCTCCCAACACATGCCCGAGCCTGGCCCGAGCCGCAGCATATGCAGCAGTCGTTTTTGGATGGGCAGCTGCCCCCGCCGCCGCCGCTGCCGCCGCCCCCGCTGCCGAATCGCCGCAGCCGCAGCCGCTGCCGCCGCAGCCGCTGCCGCCACCGCTGTCGCCGCCGCCGCCACCGCCGCCGCCGCCGCCGCCCCCGCCGCCGCCGCCGCCGCCGCCGACGCCACCGCCGCCGCCACCGCCGCAGCCGCCGCAGCCGCTGCCCCCGCCGCAGCCGCCGCAGCCGCCGCCGCCGCCGCCAAGTGTACTCTGCATTGTTTTTGACAGGGCTGGGGGGGCCGCATCGGGTTCGCTGCGCATGCTCCGAATTTGGAGGCAGAGTGTGTGTTTGCATTGTTTTTTGCAAGGGGCGGGTGGGGGGGCCCTCATTGACTCGGGTTGGCTCCCAGTCGCCTGGGGGAGGGTGTATACGAATAGGGAACAGTGATCAAGACTCCTTCCCCGCCCGCAAGCCGTCTCGCTCACTCCCACCCGCCCTCCCAACACATACGTAGCACCCGAGCCTGGCCCGAGCCGCAGCATATGCAGCAGTCGTCTTTGGATGGGCAGCTACTGGGGGCGAATCCGCCGCCGCCGCCGCCGCCGCCGCCGCCGCCGCCGCCGCCGCCGCGCCGCCGCCGCCGCCGCCGCCGCCGCCGCCGCCGCGCCGCCGCCGCCGCCGCCGCCCCCCCGCTGCCGAATCGCCGCTGCCGCCGCAAACGCTGCCGCCACCGCCGCCGCCGCCCGCCGCCGCCGCGGCCGCCGCCCCTGCCGCCGCCGCCGCCACCGCCGCATCCGCCGCAGCCGCTGCCCCCGCCGCAGCCGCCGCAGCCGCCGCCGCCGCCAAGTGTACTCTGTCTTGTTTTTTTGGCAGGGATGGTGGGGGGAGACCGCATCGGGTTCGCTGCGCATGCTCCGAATTTGGAGGCAGGGTGTGTTTTGTATTGTTTGTTTTAAGGATGGTGGGGGGGTCGCATTGTTCCTGGTTGGCCCCCCAGTCGCCTGGGGGAGGGGGTGTATATTCATAGGGAACAGTGATAAACTCCTCCCGGAAGGGGAGAGGGGTTTTTTGGAAGAGTAAAGAAAGGATGTCGTTAGACCACCTGTCGCCCAGAGGGCTGGCGGGATTCCCCAGGCAGTGCTTGCTCTGAAGGGGTCCTGGCGGATCAGGACAGAATATGTAGGCGAAAGTACGAGGCCGATGTCGGTGGGCGGCTGGTTTCCCAGGCTTTTGCCGATTAGACGTCGGAGTGACCCTTCGCTGGAGTGACCTTGGGTGCGCGCCCACTAGGGTCCCCCGATCGCCGCGTGCGGTGCGATAGTAGCGTCGTGTGCGCTTGTGTTTGGTCCCCCCGCGACCCCCAGAAAGCCGCGCAGCAACGGTCACTCTTGCCCGGGGGCACTCCTGCGTATAACTGAGTTCTTGGTTCCGGGTTCCGGCGAAAGTGCCTGGCCGATTTCGGTGGGCGGTCGGGGTTGTTGGTTTTGGTTTCTGGGCCGAATGTCAACGGGCGGTGAGCGAAGGTGAGAGCGGAGAGTACAGTTCAGCGAGTAGAGCAGAGTTGAGCAGAGAGAGAGAGAGAGTAGAGGGTAGAGATAGAGAGAAGAGCGAATTGAGAGGGTAGATAGAATAAGCATACTGGAAACAAAGAGAGAGAGATAACGAAAACAAATGCAATAGAGAGAGGAAAACAAGCACAATTCCGACCGCGATCATAATCAGAGAGTATAGAGTAGAGAGTAAATATCAGGAAGTACAGGGTATAGTTGAGAGGCAGAGAGAGAGGGTGAGAAATATGAATGTATATATATAGTTAAGGCAGAGGCAGAGAGAGATAAACAAAACAAGAGAAGAGAGTAGAGAGCAGAGAGTAGAGAGTACAGAGTAAAGAGTAGAGAGTAGAGAGTAAACAGAGTAGAGATTTGCACAGGATTAGTTCGGGCAGTTTTCACGGTGGGAACGCGGGGAGCACTTGTGACTTGTAATAACACACAACCGATGTCGTTTGCTTATGTGTAATGTTTGGAGCAATGGCCCATACCATACCGACCTCTGTTTGGGTTGATCAGCAAATCCAGTCAGTATTGCGGCAGTCGGGAGGTCATCCGCTGGGTTCTAGGCTCTTCCAGGGCCCCAGTTGCTGCGAGCATTCATTGCGTTCTGCCGTCATCCTCGTTGTCGTTGCACTTCTCATCGCCATTATCCGCCTCGCCGCTGTTGTTGTTTACGGCCGGAGTCAGGTTTGGCTTACGATAGTGGGGGTATTACATTTGAAGAAGTCGTTACCATTTCTGCAGCACTTCTGGTCTTCTATGCAATATGGCGGGCGATCGGCCTCGCGTCTGGTTTGACATCTCTATAGATGGGTACGCCATTGGCCGGATGGTTTTCGAGCTGTATTCGGATATCGTCCCCAAGACTGCCGAAAATTTCCGATGTCTCTGCACTGGTGAGAAGGGGCGTGGTCGTTCGGGGAAGAAGCTCACGTATATGTCCTCGCATTTTCACCGTATCATCCCTGGCTTCATGTGCCAGGGTGGTGACTTTACGGAGGGAAATGGGCGAGGCGGTGAGTCAATATATGGTGGCAAGTTTGCGGATGAGAGCTTCAAGGTGGAACATACGAAGCCGGGGCTTTTATCAATGGCGAATTCGGGGCCGAACACGAACGGCTCACAGTTCTTCATCACGACAAGGAAGACGCCTCATCTTGACGGGAAGCACGTCGTTTTCGGCGAGTTGGTTGAGGGCATGAAGGTGTTGCAGGAGATGGAGAAGGAGGGCTCGCCGACTGGCAAGCCAACTGGTAAAGTAACGATTCGTGATTGCAACCAGATCGGTGCTCAGGTGAAAGGCCCGACTGCTGCTCACGAGTCCGCACCCGCCAAGCGCATGGGGGACTGCGCAGAAGGCGAGGTGCGGGTGCTTCACGTTCTGCGGAAGCACAAAGACTGTCGCAAGCCATCCTCTGCGCGACAGAAAGCGATCACATGCACGGTCGAGGAGGCGATGCTCTTCTTGGAAGAGCTGCGCGAGGGCTTGTCCACGTCTGGGCACGACTTCGACATGCTCCTCGACAAGTTCGGGGAGGCCGCCCAGAAACATTCGGATTGCGGATCTGCAAAGAAGAGAGGAGACCTCGGCTGTTTCGGCCGCGGCAGGATGCAGAAGGCCTTCGAGGACGCATCATTTGCGCTGCAGGTTGGCGCCATATCGACGCCGATCGTGACAGAGTCTGGAGTGCATCTGATCTTCCGAGTGCAGTGACGCCTGGGAATGCGATGCCGCCGCCTGGAGTCTCTTCTATTCGCAGCACCGTGTGGATCCGCGCAGAGTCATGTTACATGCATACAAACATACGTACGTACGTGCATGCATGCATGCATTCAGACATACCTACAGACGTACGGATATGCATGCATCAATCCTTCCTTATATGCATGCATACATACACATATGCATACATACGTATACATATATATATACATATTTATATATATGCATCCCTACATAAATGCATATGCATACCTGTGTGTATACACACGTACACACATGCATACATACACACATCAACGCATGTACCTACATACACACATACATACATACATACATGCATACCTACACATCTACATACATATATATATATATGCATTTACATATGCATACACATATACATATACATATAAATATACACATGCATGTATATACACACTGACCGATCGACCTACCTATCTACCTACCTACCTAGCTACCTACTGACATGCATACATACATCCATGCATACACAAACGTACATGCATGCATACAGACATACACATATACTCACATACACACATGCATGCACATATACAGACATGCATACATGCATACATACATACACACATACGTACATACACACATGCGCACCCACATGCACACGCATACACACATGCAAACCTGCATGCACGCATACAGACATGCATAACTACACACATACATACAGGTATGCATGCATGCATACATATACACATGCAAATAGGAATACGTGTATATATATATACATTCGTACATACATACATCCATACATACATACGTACATACGTACATACGTACATACCTGCATACATGCATACATACATACATACATACATACATACATATACACACACATTCATATATTCATACATACATGTATACATGCATGCATGTATGCATACATACACACATACACGCATCCATACATACGCACACACATACAGACATACATACATAAAAACATACGTACACACACATATACACACATACATACATACATACATGCATACATACATACATGCATACATGCATACAGGCATACATGCGTACATGCATACATACATACACACATATACACATACATACATACACACACATACATACATATATCATGCATGCATGCACGCATACCTGCATACCTACATACACTCATACATTCATGCACACATACTTACAGACATACATACAACTATACAAACGTACCTCAATACGTGCATATATACATACATGCATGCATGCACGCATACATAAATACATGCATACATACATGCATACATCCATACATACAGACAAACAGAGATACACACACACCTACGTACACAGTCACACACACACATGTGCATCTATATACACATAGAGAGAGAGAGAGAAACAAAAAAAAAACAACGAGAGAGAGAGAGAGAGAGACATCATGGCCTTCGGCCCATCCCGCCACCGTGCCTGGTTTGTGGGAAGCCTATTGGATGTTGGTTGGGATCTTGTGGGAGGCCTCTCGGGGGCCTCCTGGAGGCAGTTTGGAGGCCTCCTGGGAGCCGTTATGGTGCCCCTTGGGGCTTCGGGCCTCTTCAGAGCCTCTTTGGGCCTCTTGGGGGCCGCCTGGGGCCTCCTGGGCGCCTCTTGGGGTCTCCTGGGGGCCTCCTGTGGCGGAGCGCTTGATTTTACGGCTCGTGTTTCCTCTCTTGAGCCCCTCTTGGAGCCGGGTTTAGGGCCTTCTTGGGCAGTCTTAAACGCCTCTTGAACCGTGTTGAGGCCATCTTGGGCCGTCTTGGGCCCCTCTCGGGATCCTTTTGGGCCGTTTTGGTGTGGTCTTCGGGGCCTCTTGGTCCGTCCTGAAAGGTCGAAAAGCCGAAAAGGCGAGAACGCCCAAATCCTTCAAACACTTCAAGAAAATCAATGATTGGCGAAGGACCCAACCATATGCACTTGTGAGTACCGCAGTTGTGGGTATCGTCTTCAGTGGAGCTCCCAATGGACCACGAAACATTTTAACCTGGGCGGGGGAGACGCATGCGAACTTTGCCACTGGGGCCTTCGGTGGAGCTCCCTGTCGGGCCACGAAACGCTGTACTGGGTGGGGGGGCTCATGCGAACTTTGCCACTGGGGCCTTCGGTGGGACTCCCTACGGGGCCACGAAAAGCTGTACTGGTTGCGGGAAACGCATGTGGACTTTGCCACTGGGGCCTTCGGTGGAGCTGCCGATGGGGCCACGAAGCGTGTGAGCGGTGTGCCGAAATGGGTGGCGCGGTCGCGTGCGGGCGGCGCCACTGGGGCCTTCGGTGGGCCTCCCTATAAGGCCACGAAGCGTGTGAGGGGTGTGCCGGAATGAGCCGCTGGGACGCATGCGGGCGGCGCCATTGGGGCTTTCGGTCGAGCTTGCTTGCTATGGGGCCACGAACCGTGAACGGGGTGTGTGACGAAATGAGCGGCTAGGATGCGTGCGGGCGGCGCCATTGGGGCCTTCGGTGGAGCTCGCTATGGGGCCACGCAACATGTGAGGGGTGTGCCGACACGAGCGGCTGTGACGCATGCGGGCGGCGCCATTGGGACCTTCGGTGGAGGTCCATAGATGGCCGCGAAACGTGTGAGGGGTACAGTATGCCGAAATGAGCGGCTGGGACACATGCGTGCGGCGCCACTGGGGCTTTCGGTGGAGCTCGCTATGGGGCCACGAAGCGTGTGAGGTGTGTGCCGAAATGAGCGGCTGGGACGCATGCGTGCGGCGCCACTGGGGCTTTCGGTGGACTTCGTTATGGGGCCACGAAGCGTTTGAGGTGTGTGCCGGAATGAGCTGCTGGGGCGTATGCGGGCGGCGCCATTGGGGCCTTCGGTGGAGCTCGCTATGGAGCCGCGACGCGTGTGAGGTGAGTGCCGAAATGAGCGACTGGGACGCATGCGGGCGGCGCCATTAGGGCCTTCGGTGGAGCTCCTTAGGGGTCCGCGAAACGTGTGAGGGGTGTGCCGACATGAATGCCTGGGACGCGTGCGGACGGCGCCTCTGGAGCCTTCGGTGATCTTCTGTGTGATTCCCGATGGGACCACGAAACGTGTGATGTGTGTATACATGCAACGGCGCACCGGGCCCGGGCGCCGAGGGCCAGAACCTCGCCCTTTTTTGTGGGTACAGGGGCCCGGGCCCGCTTCTGGGAGGCCTTAAATCGCCCGGGGGAGCCCTCAGACAGCAATCCCGGCAGCCCAGACGGTTTCGAGACACCCCCAAGACGCCGTCCAGGGGTCTCTGGCGACGCACGATGCGTTTTAAATTGCCCCGGAGGCCCCCAAGACCCCCAAGAGGCCTTTAAGATGCCGCCCAAGAGCGCCCCGAGAGGGCAAAATCGTTGATTTTCATAATTTTAGTTTCAATTTTTTTTGTATGTTCGCTGTTTCGTGTTTCGGGCGCTAAAGCACCGCCCAAGAGGCTCCCAAAACCATTCCAAGACGGCCCAAGAGGCCCCCAAGAGGGCCCCAAGGCGGCCCAAGAGAGCCCCGAGATGGCCCCAGAGCCGCCCAAGACGGCGCAAGAGGGTCCCAAGAAGGCCCCAAAAGGGGCCCAAGAGAGGGAACGCGAACTGAAAAATCAAGCTCTCCGCCCCAAGATGCCCCCAAGAGGCCCCGAGAGGCCCCCAGGAAGCCCCCAAGAGGCCCCACGATGCCCCGAAGAGGCCGCACGACGCGTTTTAAATTGCCCTGGAGGCCCCTAAGACGCCCCAAGAGGCCTTTAAGATGCCGCCCAAGAGCGCCCCGAGAGGGCAAAATCGTTGATTTTCATTGTTTTTGTTACAATGTTTTTTGCATTCTCGCTGTTTCGGGTTTCGGGCGCTAAAGCACCGCCCAAGAGGCTCCCAAAACTATTCCAAGACGGCCCAAGAGGCCCCCAAGAGGGCCCCAAGACAGCCCAAGAGAGCTCCGAGATGGCCCCAGAGCCGCCCAAGACGGCGCAAGAGGGTCCCAAGAAGGCCCCAAAAGGGGCCCAAGAGAGGGAACGCGAACTGAAAAATCAAGCTCTCCGCCCCAAGATGCCCCCAAGAGGCCGCAAGAGGCCCCCAGTAAGCCCCCAAGATGCCCCAAGAGGCCCCCAAGAAGCCCAAAAGAGCCTCCAAGAGGCACCAAGACGGCACCCAAAAGGCTTCAAAACTCTTTCTAAGAGGCCCCCGAAGACATGCCAAGAAGGTCCCATGACGACTTCAAGAAGCAGTCCAGGATGCTCCGAGGAGGCCCCAAGAAACTAGCTAGAACTTGAGCGCGCGCGAAGCGCTCACAATGGTTCTAGTATGTCTGTATGTTGCTATGCCTGTCTGTCTGTCTGTCTGCCTGCCTGCCTGTCTGTCTGTCTGTCTGTCTGCATGTATGTATGTATGTATGTATGTATGCATGTACGCATGAATGTATGTATGTACGCATGTATGTGTGTTTGTATGTCTGTATGCACATATGTATGTATGCATGTACGTTTGTTTGTATGTATGTATGTACAATGTATGTATGTATGTGCGCGCGTACGTATGCATGCATGTAGGTGTGTATGTGCGTGTGCATGTCTGTATGCGTGTATGTATGTATGTATGTGTGCATGCCTGCTTGTATGTCTGTCTGTGTGTCTGCATGTATGCAGGCATGTATGTATATATCTGTCTGTCTGTCTGTCTGTATGCATGCATGTATGCATGCATGTATGCATGCATGCATACATGCATGCATGCATGCATGCAAGTATGTATATATGTGTGTATATATATATATATATATATATATATATATGTGTATGTGTGTACGTGTGTTTGCCGGAATGAGCTGCTGGGGCGCATGCGGGCGGCGCCACTGGGACCTTCGGTGGAGATCCCTATGGAGCCACGGCACATGCGAGGGGTGTGCCGAAATGAGCGGCTGGGACGCACGCCGGCGGCGCCACTGGGGCCTTCGGTGGAGCTCCCTATGGGGCCACGAAGCATATGAGGGGTGTGCCGAAATGAGCGGCTGGGACGCATGCGGGCGCCACGAAGCGTGTGAGGGGTGTGCCGGAATGAGCGGCTGGGACGCATGCGGGCGGCGCCATTGGGGCCTTCGGTGGAGCTCCCTAGGGGTCCGCGAAAGGTGTGAGGGGTGTGCCAAAATGGTGGGCATGCGGAGAGCAGAGGCAGGGATGGGAGGAGGGATGAGGAGAAAGAAGAGGAGGAGGAGGAGGAGGGAGGAGGAGGAGGAGGAGGAGGAGGAGGAGGAGGAGGAGGAGCAGGAGCAGGAGGAGGAGGAGGAGGAGGAGGAGGAGGAGGAGGGAGGAGGAAGGAGACCTCTTGTGGGACATCAAACAATTTTATGAGCACGTTCCCCGAGACGGCCTGCGCGACAAGGCATGCCAAATGATGTACCCCCTCGATCACCTGGACTTCTCCCTTGCCTCTTACGGTTGGGTTCGGGTCCTCAGCTACGAAGGCATGGTCAGCGCGGCCCTTTGGGCCTCTCGGGGGATCGTTGCAGGCAGCAGCACAGCCAGCTATGAAGCTAAGCTAGTGCCCAGCCTGGTTGGAGAGATTTGGTGGAGAGGGGCCTCTGGTGGGAACTCCCCAAGAAGGCCCTAGCCTCCTCCAAGCTCGACCTTAGTACGCGAGAGTCGGTTTTATTTAGGCAGATGTTCACTCGTTCCCACCCGTCCCGCGTGCAGCTTCAGAAGTGGGGAGTGAACATTGACCCAGCCTGTGGGTTTTGTGGCCGCCCTGACACCACTTTGCACAGGATCTGGGTCTGCAGTCACAGCCAGGCGGTTAGGGACGAGGAGCTTGGCCAACTGACCAGGCAGGCGCGTGAGGCAGGGGAAGGGCACCCTCTTTTCACGTTCGGCTGGATCGCCCACCTTGACCTCGCCCAACCTCCTATGTCCTGGGATATCATTTTTTTGACGGAAATGGCCTTGCCTGCGAGCCATTTCTCTTCGGACCTGGGGCCAGATTGTTCTCAGACGGGAGCTGCCTGCACCCGAGGTTCGTGTGATCTCTAGCCCGTGCAGGTTGTGCGGTCGTGGAGATCGACCAAGAAGGACGCCTCGCACGTGGGCTTCATGCAGGCGTGCCCGCCGCTCTTTCCCAAACTGCGGTGTCGGGAGAACACGCGGGAGTGGTCCTTGCCACTGTGTACAGTGAAGACGGGCTCGAGAGCTCGGATTTAAATGTGGATTGCATGGCCCTGTGTGGCCGCCCTGCGGCTCTGTATGGGCCTAAATGTTCCCAGGGGCACTTCTGGAAGGCGGTCAGTCGGGTCGTCGGTCCTAGTCGTGCGGTCCGTTGTGTCCACGGTAAAGCCCACAGGAGTAGCTCCCAGGCCATCGATCAGGCGGATGAGCTATTTATTGCGGGGAATAAATATGCCGACCACTATGCGAAGTTGGTGGTCCTTTATAACAGCTACAGTGAAGAGGAGAATTCACGGATTTCTTTCGCCCTTAAGTCGTACTCCGTCCTAGTCAAAGGGGCGGCGAAGTGCTTGGCGTGTTGGCCCTCGCTGCAAGAGCAGCTAGGACACCTTGACAGGAGTGTTTGTGAGAGGAAGCCCCGCCCTGCGCCTCCGCCCAGGCACGATTTTGCGTGGTGGAATTCGGCGAGCAAGTGGCGTTGCCGCCGCTGCTGGAGGAGGTCGGGGGTCGAGAGTGCTGGGCCCTGTAAGGGACTCAACGAGTCCCCCCGTGGTTTTGTCGAACGGGAGGATTCCCAGGGCCATATCCTCATGGTTTCCTGGGTCGAGGGACCCGACATGCTTGTAATTTGGTGCAACAGACGCGGAGGGTTTGCCTCTACGAAGGTGGGCCTGCGGCTTGGAGGGCCGTGCAGACTTGCTAAGAAGCTCGGAGAGCTGCGTAAGCTTCAGAAGGGGGAACTCCCTGGATCGGCCTTTCGCTTCGGGCCGCCCCAGCCATTGTCCTCCCTATAGTGTTGCCTGTTCGGCCTTTAAACCTGGGCTTGTGCTTGCATGAGACTTAGGATGGAAGTGGAAAACTGGAAAACGAGGAGGAAGGAGTGGAGAGGATAGGAGACGCAGGGCGCTGTCTCTTCAAAACGAGGACCCAACACCACAGGATGGTTGGGAATGATGTTTGCCTCTTGGGGCCCTCTTGGGAGGCCTCTTGGATGCCTCTGGGGGCGTCTTGGAGGCCTCTTGGGCCATCCTGAGGCCATCTT